GTTTATTCTAATTTCTATTATTAATTAGTAATAAATTGCACTTAATAAAAAAATTCATTTAATAAAATAATTTGTAAAACTTAATGTAGCGTACATTGGAATGTTTTCTTTGTAAAATTAAAAATAAGATGTTTAATTAATAACTATTGTAACTATAGTGAAAAAATAGGGTGGTTTGCATTAATATTTCGATGACTGGGCCATATGAGCTTTAATTTTATTTGGTAATTTATTGAAAATAATTATACATTATCCTCTTGTCAAATCCCCTATTTGATAAAAATAGTAATAACGTCTCAGATAACCATACCAATTACCTGGTCTCAAACAAGAGAAACCCCTGTACCGTAAGTACCAGAGCAACGGAATTCACTCCGAGGTGCGACACAGAACAACTCAGACAAGGGACCGTCCGACATTCGTCCGAAACAATTATTGTCAAATAAGAATATTCGATCAAATTACAAGACGCATGATGCAAATGAAGCTTCATACTTGACATTGTCTTTTTTTATTTGGTCGAGTATTACTTATTTGACTAATTGTTTAGGACGGAGAACGGGAATAGACCCCAAGAATGCACAAAAGTCCATTTCCTAAATTCCTACCGGGATCACTTGGTGCACGAAACCATAAACACTTTTTCACGGTCGGTATGCAACCACCAAATATGTACCAGCTCTTCGAGACTTCAGAAGTAGGTCGCCATTTATGGTATGAAGATATAGTAGCAAATGGATGCAATATACATACGTTACACTCGTAGCATTATCAAAGGTAAGTCGTTTGGAGGGATACTTTGCAAACGATGCTTTTATACTGCTCAATTATTTATTAAAAAATAGATTAACCCAAAACTTTTATAAAGAACGGAGGTATTAACTAAATCAGCTTTCTACGACTTGTGAAAATTCACTCAAAAAGTTACTTCGTCTAAAAAGACTGGAACGATTGATATTACTTATCTGGATTTAAATATCACAGTATCAGTGGCGAGGCGTCCTTATAACTCGATTCCCAAGGGCTTGCCTAAAATTCTCCACGTATTTTGTCAAATATTATTATTATATTACAAATACATATTTTGAAGTTCAAGTAGCAGTAGAGCTCCTTGCGAAAGAGTTCATCTTACGTTCACCTTACTTATTTCTCCCGTCAAGCAGTAATGTGAATATTACTGCATTCCGGTTTTGAAGGATAAGAGTGCTGGTGAAATTATAGGCACATGGGACTTGTCAACTTATGTCTCAGGATGACAGGCGCATTGGAGGCGCCCCTTCAAATCTTTGCGATTTAAAATTCTGAGTGGCACTGTAACTTTTATGGACAGACGTATTGCTTAATACCTGGCACACGACTTCTTCGTCCCATTAATTGATATAATAAAAAAAAATCCAGTTAGTTCTAGTAAAAGTAAATTAAAGTATTAATAAAGTAGTAAAGTAGTAATAATATAAGTAGTAGTAATTAAGTAAAAAAATTCAGGATTAAAAGATATTTTAGTACATAGATAGTTAATAATGATGGGAGTTGTCTATATAAAACATAATACTGCACAGTGGGACATCAAGACCACATTGGGCACGTTCGACATAGACAATCTGTGTAGACAACAAATAGATCCCAATGGTGCCCACAGGCGACTTTGTTCGACAAAATATTGAATGAACACTGAACGTGTTTTCTATACATTTTTATTCGAATCTCCGTCGTAATAAATAACAATTGGTGCAATATCTATATTTTCCCATAATCGTATAACAAAAATATAATAGACCTTGTAATATATGGAAAAGTTAATAACCTGTACTAATATTTAATTATAATATATAGGTAGATATAATTCATAGATAGATAGCTTGTTAATTTGCTGAATAATAGTATATTACAAATAAGCTTTTGACATAGGGACAATGATAGACATAAGAAAAGGCTAGGTTTGCGTGTGTGTTATATTATGTCTGAGTGTGGAGTTGAGTGTACTATGTCTGCAAAAACTCGGCATTATGCCGCAGTTCAGTACAACTACGCTGATGATTTTGCTAGGTCCTAAGTAGCGCCGGTAAAAAGGTTGTTATTCTGAATAGAGAATCAGTATGGTGTCAGAATGTAAGTAATGTAATGTAAGAATAATACTAAAATAATGCAATGTTAGAATAATACTAACTGTGTAAGTAAATAACGCACACACTCAACATCGCCCCGCACTAGCGAAACTCTGAGTCGCGGTTGTCATGGAAACACACATAGACAACCACAAATTACACCCAAACCCACGAGAAAAATAAATATAGGCCATAGAAATGTTTCTCCCGGGCCGGGAATCGAACCTGGGATCTCTGCGTGGCAGTACGGCATGGTAACCGTTCGGTCACAGAGGCAGTTAGGCAAATAGGCAGAACATCCGTAGGTGCTATAAATTGTGTACTAGACAATCCCTACACGTAACGGGCAAACTGTTACTATTTGTTACAGACATGTAAGCTATAGTTTAGGATACGATGGAACTGACATATACATTGTACAAAAGTTTCTAAATAAATATGAAATAAAAAAAGTAAACAGGTAATATATAAAGCCACTGGAAATATTTAAAAAAGGTCTCTACACAATTTTATAATAAAATACCCAATCGCATAAAAAAAAATAGCCAAACAGTTTATTTACCTTCAATCTGAAGGCATTTCTAATAAAAAAACCATATTATCCTGTTTTAGCTACAACAAAAGATTTTAATGTGTTTAAGCAACACACATATTAAGTACTCTTTTTGTAGCAAGTACCTCAGCTCGAATTAATTTTTCCCGTATTTAATACAAACGAAACAAAATTAAAAACATTTGAAAAGTATATATGGTACAGTTCACGGTTAAGCGGAATCAACCAAAGCCATTTGAGGTTGTATAGATTCTTAATTCTTAACACACAACATTTTATTTAGTTGAAATAGATTTTACTGGTAAATAATATTATACAAGGCCAACTAGATTTAAGTACATTTTGCTGTGCCCTGCCATGTTATGTGATTCTATAATTTCATGTGAGTTCTATTTTTGGTACCATGGTTGCAATAAAAGCATTTTAATTCATTTACTAGCTGCTGTTCGCGACTTCGTCTGAGTAGAGTACTTCTAGTGGCTACTAATTTTCATTGTTTTATTGGTCCATGTAAACTTTTATCCCCTATTTCACCCTATTTAACATTTATAACATTTTATAATATCAAGTGACGGGACGAACAAGTCGTGCGCCTGATGGTAAACTACACACCTGTCCATAACAATTGCATTGTCACTCAGAGCTTTACATCGCAATTGATCTGTAAGGCTAGCATAGGAGCGACTTAATAATAGAAAATAGCAATATGTCGCGCTTCTCTGTCGCTCTCGCGTAAGTCGAGGTCTATCGTGCTAGCCCTACTGAGGGTCGCTACCACTGCGCCCGTCACCCTGATACATAAGTTGACAAGTCCCATGTGCCTGTAATTTCACCACCACAGTTACTCCTCAAAATTGGAACACGGTAATGCTGACATTGCTGCTTGGCGGCAAAAATAGGCAAGGTGTCAGCACTTCCCTGAACTAACTCTTTCATAAGGAGCTCTACTGTTACAAAACAAAATTACTAGATTTATTTTTGTGACAAAAAGTAGCATTTGTCCTTCTCCTAGGTCCTATCTCTTTCTATACCAAAATTAATCAATATTGGTTCAGCGGTTTAGGTGTGAAAACGTGTCAGACAGAGTTATTTTTGCATTTATAATATTAGTTTGGACAAAAACTGGAAGGCGTAATTGGAAAATATAGAAGAAGATGACAGATGTACGTGTATATGTAAGGAGTAGAGTTTTCAAATAATTGTGGATGAATGGATATTTTGCTAGGGAAATGTTTGTGTGTGCGTATGTATATAGGTAAGTAATAAGTGATTACGGATAATATCAGAATTAAAGCAAAATGAAAAACCTCAATGTACGTAGTTTAAAAAACACGAAAGTGCAATTTACAATTATTATTTGCCAGACATAAAATAGCTAACCACAAAGAACGCGCAAGTTTCACTTTTTTTTAAAACCCACTACTACATAAGGACAATGAAACCACCAAGGACTTGATGGAAACCTGCCCGTACAAGTCCAGACCTGACAATCCTTATCTACACGTGCACTATACCTTTGCAGTCGAGATGTTTATGTTCATGTTTCAATTAAGTATGTCGAAAGGTATTCAGCTATAGATACATAGTTGGAATTACATTCTAGTTGGATTTCTCAACAATTACACCGTGCAAATGGCAGCTCTTACCTAAATACCTACGTTTAGAACTTCTAACTAACTCTTCTAAGATCGTGAGTGTAGTAATTTATAAACTGGATTATGTTATTTAACTACCCGGAACTTTGTTTGATTTACGTACATCTACTCGTAAATACAAATGAATCTGTTTTATCATCATTGAAATCTCAACTTAATTAATATGCAATAATAAAATAAATTTATAAGTGAAAGTCATTCAGTCCAACATAAAAAGGAGTTTGAATTTGTTAATTTTTAAACCACTGCAATAATTTTTCAAAACTTTCACTGGCTAATCATCGCGGTCTTTTGAACTCTCCGATCTCATATGGCACCGCTGTGCATAATTATCTCGTTATCATGAAAATTGACTGGTCAAATTTAAATATAACTGGCATAATGCGCATGGTGATGTTATATTATACAGTTGGAGTATGTGCTTGAAAATTAAGTGGATTGTTTGAACGTAAACAAAGGCCGGAATCGGGCTTTGTTCCTTGTTTACAAATGTCTGTTTGTGATTTTTGCTAAAATTTGAAGTGGAAAACTCGATTAGAGCCCTTGTAAACAAGTATAATATTGCAAATATTAAACAGATGGCAACAAGCGGGAGGATACAATGATATAGGGTATAGTTAGAGGGGTGGGCTTACGACATAGAAACAAAGGAAGTTCGCTTAGCGGTGTGGTTGGGAGTCAGCTGACCTCGGTAGACGTCATCGTAGAGGGCGAGCGCGGCGTCAGGCGCGCCCCAACGGGACGCCTCGGGGTACACCATGGGCTTGGCGCCGCTAGCTGCGCATGATAGGCGCGTGCGGCGGCGCCGGCGGCTGCGCGCGTACTGGCGGCGCCCGCGCCTTCGGCCCGCGCCCGCCGCAAAGCCCGTCTGCGCACATACGTCACACAACATCAACATATCAAGCGGTAGCGCACAGAAGCGACATCTTCTATTACTCTTATGAATTCTACAAAGTTGAATTTCAATAGTAAACTAGATGGATTTATAAACAGATTTAGTACTCTACATTTTATTGCCATGATCTGGTAATATTTTATGGTTATATCGTGTAAGTAAAAATAATTATAGTTCTACGAATTTCATAACTAAACAGTAACATAGTTGTATTACAATAAATCTGTACTTATATAAGTTAACTAGAATCTCATATGCACTGCTTGCCTAGACACAAACAAGCATATGTTAGTAATCGGTTGTGTAATAACAAAGCAAGATACATAAAAGGCAAAATGTCTAAATTAAAAACTCTTAGGCTTAAAAAAAAATAAAATGTTTTAATTATTTGACACCACTAAAGCTAAAAAGAGGTTGTAACTTCGACAATCCTAACGGGTTTTTTTCCTATTGAACTCATTGTTTTTAAATCTTAAACTTCCATTAACAAATTTTATATCACATTAGGATTTGATATATTTTGACGCGTGTACGACTAGCAGTGAAGTGCCGCCCCTGTTTGTAACCTCTTCTATGTCGTCTCTTACCCGCTTCACTTTCGCACGGAGGCGCGGGCGTCGCGGGCGCGGGCGACACTAGTTTAATTGCAACCCGCTGCACCAACCGGATTTATTGTCTCACGCTGCGCCCGCGCACCCGAACCGCCACTATACTATCACCAGGATCTTATGAACTTTGCCGAAATTCAATTAAAATTACATGCTCTATAATTCGACGCGAAACTAGTAGTGTAGCAACAGCTTCTTTGTGTACCGTATTATCAACAATACTATGTACGCATGTCAACCCATTTACAGATCTACATCTACAGGTTAAGGATGTACTTAAGGAAAGGATTTAGGCCAGAGTCCATTACGTTAACTCATGGCAATTTAACGAATTCTCATATCTACAAAGAGATTTTGTGAGCCTTATGCATTAGATAATAGATTGCAGGTTGTATTGCATTCGCGATCTCGTCAACCAATCACGGCAGCAATGGCAAATCTTCCTTTATTTAGAGAAGCACTTAAAGTTTTATAGGTTGGTTTGAAACTTATGACATAGCGTAGTCCATGAATCGTACCTATCTTCCTGAATAGCCTTATTACGTGTTTAAGTCTTGACTTGGAAACCGTTAGGTTGTTAAATGTTTTATTGCGAATTTAAACACGGGTCTAGGGTTTCGAGTGGATGCTGTAGAGTTCCATTGTTTAGATGTAAACTCTACTTTCAAAGACGCTTTAAAAATAATTTGGTTTCGAATCATCTCTTTTAATCTTTTTTTTTTATAAAATCAAGTTACAGGACGAACAAGTCGTGCGCCTGACAAGCTACACGCCTGTCCGTAACAGTTGCAGTGCCACTCAGAGCTTTAAATCGCAAAGATTTGAGGGGCACTGACACTGCACCCGTCACCCTGAGACGTAAGTCGACAAATCTCATGTGCCAGTAATTTCACCACACCTGTACGCAAGTTTTCGTAAGACGTAAATCAATTATTTTTTATTGTTCCATGGTCTTCTTTTTCTTATCGTATAGATGGCATACGGCGACCGCCCAGTTACCACGCTTTCATGCACATTAATGGCGAATATGAATTCTATTTACTAGGCAACAACATTCCTCTGAATAATACAACCATGCGGTCGCTGAGTAGACCAAAGACAAGCCAGCCTCGCCCGCGAGCCCGTACGCTCATTTAAGTTAAAACGTAAAAGCTAAATACATAGAGCGTACTTTGCCATGGCAGTTAGATGCAAGTGGTCGCTGCGCACAACGCAGTCTCCGCGCGGCGAACGCGCGGCGTGAGCGCGATGAATTCGTGTCGAATATTTATTCGCTCTACGCGCTCTTACGCTTGCTATCGGGTAAAAGAATTTGCCTACATAAGGTTCTCGCTGATTATTGCTCTGGGTGCGCCAAACCTGCAACCCCATTTCGATGACTGTGATATCCATTTTATGGCAGCACTTCACATGACTACTTGTATTCGTTATTGGCTATTTGGTGTATTTTAAAGTATTTGAAGTACAGACAAACATGTAACACTGACAAATATGACCGTCTACACATGGAGCCAAATTAGGAGTTAAAACAATGAATATGACCGTAGTGTGAGCGGTATACTTGCCTATTTGGCAACTTAGTGGCAGTAGAGCTCCTTGTGAAAGAGTTCGTCCAGAGAAATACTGCCACCTTACCTATTTCTACCGCTAAGCAATAATATCGACATTGGACTTGTCAACTTAATTATGTCTCTGGGTGACGGGCACAGTGGCGGTACCCCTCAGAACTTCGCGATTTAAAGCTCTGAGTGGCACTGCAACTGTTATGGACAGGCGTGTAACTTACCATCAAGCGCACAACTTGTTTGTCCCGTCACTTGAAATTATAAAAAAAAGACTCCTTTGATGTGCGTCCAGAAAGTGATCAGGCAAATACTTTGCGCACTAAGTGGCACTGCAACTGTTATGGATAGACATGTCGCTTACCACCAGGCGCATGACTTGTTCGTCCCGTCACTTGGTATTTTAAATATAACCGTAAATTTTAAAAAATACAATAAAAATATTCTTTATTGCGGCCACAAGCGCCCTTACCTACATTCACATTGAAGAGAATTGCTACATTTATATGCATCACTAGCAACTGCGTGCGAATTCGATGATTGATGGTATTCGTACGTAAGTACTACCTATAGTTTAGGGCATAATCTAAGGTACCATATTTCATTAAAATCTATTTAGCCGTCACATCACAGCCGGCAATGATTAATTAGACCCTTCCTTTGCATTAGTGGGATTAGTGTAATTCGTATTGTCTAGCACGTAGTCCTTTCTCTTTCTCCTGTTGTACGGAAATACCATCCATACTAGATTAGATAGTGCTAAATCTTCTACAATCTTGTGCCAATGTAGAAAAAAGTAATTGCCCCGGAGTAGGGCGATCGTCGCAAGCGCATTCAATAGACATCAACGCGGGCAATGCGCGCTCGCTGTGTCATTGCGGAAATACCTGACGTTACTCATCCTTTCCAGAACATTCCATAGTATATGTGTTACTTATTTTCTGCTTGTAATTACGTTTTTAACTACCGCACTTCTTTCTGTGGATGTCGTTTAAAACGACAATGGGATAAATCTAGGAGAAGATTATGGAATTCTCTATTTTTCATGGAGGTCTATAAGGTTATTAGCAGATATACAATACAATACAAATATTCTTTATTGCACACGGACAAATACATAATAATGTAAAAAAGTTAAAATGACAGGTACAACAGGCGGTGTATTGCTATATAGCAATCTCTTCCAGGCAACCTTCGGGTTACAGGAAAAACTGTAAGATAAAATTAATTGAGAGTGCAAAGAATACGGATTTGATACACATATTGCACATAAACAAATGAAGAAGAAAAAAACTAAATAAATCAAAAGAAACAACAATAATAATAATAATTCAAAACGACACACAAAATTTAAAACAGTTAATCGTTCTTTAATCTTTTAAAAAAAAATCTTGAGGAAGATGTTTTAAAGGTGTGATTAGATCGAGAATTTGTCGCATAAGGCAGATGAAAAAGTTAAGTGAGGCGTCGTACAAAGTTTACGTAACAGCTTTTAAGAAGGAAACTTGGAAGGAAAATCGCAATAGCAATAAGAATAAAAGTGTAAGAGCCAATGATTATGACCGAGGGCAGGCCAAATACCTTGTCCTACAAATCGGCCTAACCATACAGAGAGCGAATGCAATATTTTTGTCATGTCCAAGATATTGGCAGTGTACACGCCGCCGATACTGAGATTTAATATCACACATTGTATTTAGCCTTTTTTGAATTTAAGTTTCTGTGTACAGTCAGCAGACTCAGGGTAACAATTTAAAACACAGCAAAGATAGATAGATAAAAGCTTTATTCACCACCATGACATCAGATACATGATATAGGCATTAACTTATATGTATATAACAATAATGATATTCTTATCTACTAATATTACACTTGGAAGTCATGGCAGTGAAAAAGGCGCTGGCTCAGCATAAATGACGCGGCTGCCCGCGACGCTGGTATTCTGCCAGGACCCTATAGGATAGAGACGCCACTCGCAATCCAACAAAAATCTGATTTAATTTTTAAATTATTAATTTTCAATCTTCTTCCTCCCAACCTCCACACATAATACACTATTTGCAGTCCTGAAACGAGGTACAGCCAAGAGCATAACAAGCCCGGCACCTTGGACCTTGGACCGTTCCTATCGCAAGCGGCACAGAGTTGAAATTAAATCTTAAATCTTAAATGTCAAGCATGACGCGCTCCCGACCCTGTACGTGGACACACAAGAGACAACCGCAAATACCCTAGCCACTCATATCCCCAATTTTTTGCAAATTTAACAGATGCTCCCGCAGCTTTAGCTTAAACGTTTTTTTGTGAATTTAAATATTATACTGAGTGTGATACTATCTGCTTGTACCTTTGTTATATTTCCTTTCTTTATAAAACAAAAAAAACTTAATAAAGCCATGTCAATAAAGCTCTTAATCAACCATATGATATTATAAACTGCCTCCGTGGTCGAACGGTTACCATCCCGGACTGCCGGGTTCGGTTCCCGGACCAAGAGAAATATTTGTATGGTCTTCATTTATTTCTCTCATGAGTTTGGGTGTAATTTGTGGTTGTGTATGTCCATGGCACCCGCAATACGGGGTTTCCCTAGTGCGGGGCTATGAGTGTGTGCGTTGTTTGTTGTTGTATAAAATAAAATAATTGCCTAAAACTGTGTCGAAAAAATGGTAAAAGGCTCAACAATTTGATGATGTTCAGGCTTCACCTGAAAAGTATTCACCGCTGGAGACACCGCAGCATGTAGAG